TTCGTCAAGGTCGTCTGCTGGTATGATAACGATTCCACGGCTTTCTTGGAACACTTTCGATGTCGTATATACTTAAGAAGGTTCATAACACAACTGATACTTTGTATAGGGCCACGAAGTAAAAAGCAGCTCAGGAGTGGGGCTACAGCTGCCGAGTTGTCGATCTGATCAAGCACATGGCCGCGGAGGATGCCAAGGCATAAGCTGTCCACTCGAGGCTGCAACTGTTTAAGGAATTAGAAGAAAGGGTTGACGAAATCAACCTAATCTGGCTCCTACCGGACTCTCCGAGTTCAGTTTTCCGTATCGCCTTGCAGGTAAAACGTATGCCAGGTCCATGCTGAGCATCGTCAGGCCGCGATAAGCCGCCAAAGGACCGTTCCTCACAGCTACAATGTTACCCTTGAGTGCCAAAGCCTTAAGGCCCCAAATGCTATCCCCTTACAGGACCATATAATGCTACTAAGCGTAACCCGAAACATGAATGAAGATATGCTGTCCAGGCTCGTCTCTTTGGCCTTGAAGCACATCCCCAACCTGATTTGATTCAGTTTGGGGTTAAAGTTCAATCAAAGCCTTGCAGCCCTTAAGCCGTAAACACCGCGCCCCACACCCCGAGCCGTAAACCTTATCCCACACCCCTAAACCTGAAAGCCGACATCCTAAATTCTAAACCCGTCGGGAGGACCGAGCTGACCGGACCCAAATGCTGAAACCCCAAACCCGAAGCCCTTGAACGATTCCCAAGAGTCACCTATAGGAACCCTTGGAGGAACCCTAAACCCTAAACCCTTGGAGGAACTCTAAACCATAAACCCTTGGAGGAACTCGTAAAGAAACCCTTAAACCCTAAACCCTAAACCCTAAACCCTAAACCGGAGCCCTCATAGAGGAACTCTTCACTTCACCGAACCTTGGAGCAGGCTGAGGAGTTCGACTGCTCGGCGACCGGTGCAATGCTTGGTGCAGTAGCGGGGGGAGAGAGATTTACTACTCGAATTCGGGGGTTTCCGGAGTTAGTTAGTGAGTTTTCTGACCCTAAACCCTAAACCCTAAACCCTAAACGTGAGTTTTCTGTTTTTGCTTGGATATTGTGTTATGGCTTTAGGGCTCTTGGGTTTCTTGGGCCGAGAGTGTCGAGGATGAGGGATGCCCTTCGAGCCTCGCGGTTTTTTTCCCGGTTTTGTTTGGCGGAAGCTCGAAGCCATAGGGTCGTAGTATAGGGGGCCCCGAAACCCTAAACCCTAAACCCGAAACCCTCCATGATTCATAGTATGGCTCCGGAGGGAATCCTATAAACCCCTTTAAGCTCGTCTCTGTTCAGATATCGAGGGCCCCGTACTACACAAAGAGCCTAGGGTTTAGGGTTTAGGGTTTAGGGTCCTCACAGAACCCTTGGAGGAACCCTGCTCTAACTATTCACGGCCTCTTCATGAGTTTCTCGGGCTCGTTCGATCTGACACGCATGGAGACTCCAGCCAGAAGCCCTAAACCCTAAACCCTAAACCTTAAACCCAAAACCCTAAACCCTAACCCTAAACCCTAAACCCTAAACCCTAAACCCTAAACCCTATAGCCTATAGCCCATTCCCTTAACAGTCAGCCCCCGATGATCAGCAGACCGTAGCTCCCCCATGCTTCTTGTAACGACTACCTGGACCCAAGCCCCAACCCTAAACCCTAAACCCTAAACCCTAAACCCTAAACCCTAAACCCTAAACCCTAAACCCCTAAACCCCTAAACCCCTAAACCCCAAACCTTAACCCCCAAAACCCCCCGACCGCACGTCCAACCCACCCAACCCCAGGAAGCCCATTTCGGCCCCTTCTCTAAACCCTAAACTTAGGGTTTAGGGTTTAGGGTTTAGGGTTTAGGGTTTGGCCCTAAAGGTTGCGCTCATCGCCTGGGTGCTGTTCACTGGGCCCCGTGCTATGGCAGCTCTTTGGCCCGGACAAGTGCTGTTGCTTTCACTACTTCTGATTAGGATTGGAGGGTAAGTTCTTGGGCCATTGGGCTTCTGTGGGTTCGCGGGAAACAGGTTCAGCATGGGGCTAAACCCTAAACCCTAAACCCTAAACCAAGGCTTGCGGGTCTAAGAGCCTGGTTTTCGGTAAGATAGGCCCTTGGGTTGTCATGTTTGCTGTTGTGATTGGTGCTGTGGGCGCTCTGCCGATGCGGTGCATGGATTGCCTATGGGTTCAGTCTTATAGATACTGGCATTGTCATCTTTTAATGGGCACTGTCAGTACCGTGCTTCGATGATGAATAGCAGTGGTGGTGATGATTTTGTTGATGAGCGCTCTGGGGTGGTGATGGTGGTGATTATGAGCAGTTTTGATGTGCACAAGTATGCATGCACACCTAGACATACGTAGCAATCTACTGACGTGCACGGATGCTGCCAATGGCAGTGATATTGATCGTTGTGCAGCTGGTGGCACTGATGCTGCAAGTGCTGCTAGAGATGATGGTGCAGTAGAAGAGGAACGGGCATCAGAGTGATGTTGTTACGTACGTGATAACGACAGCAATGATGAGGGCAATGCTGTTGACGGTTAGCAATGGTAGGATTATTACCAAAAAGAGGGTGAATGACAATGGTCGTCGTCGGCGTCGTCGTACCAGTACTAGTAATAGTGCCAATACTAGTATGAGTACCAGCACTAGTACTAGTACTAGTACTAGCAGTAGTAGTAGTAGCAGCAGTAGCAGTAGCAGCAGTAGCAGTAGCAGTAGCAGTAGCAGTAGCAGTAGTAGTAGTAGTAGTAGTAGTAGTAGCAGCAGCAGTAGTAGTAGTCGTGGTGGTGGTGGTGGTAGTAGTAGTAGCAGCAGCAATAGTAGTAGCAGGAGTAGTAGAAGAAGTAGTAGCAGCAGTAGTAGTTCGTCGTCGTCGTCGTTGTCGTCATCGT